CATGTTCATCCATTTCGTTTTGCGGCCCTGTATTATTGTTTTGAAGTCACCGTTGTCCTAATGTTTCTTTTTTTTTTTCCCAAGACAAAGCGCAAACCAGCTAAAAAAATGTACAGGGCTATGCTGTTCTACTCAATTGAAGATGACACGCAAAGATTCGGGCGCTTTTGAACAAAAAAATCATTTTTCACCCGAAGAAGTCTCTTACGTCAGTCTTGCACCAAGCCATTCATTTCTACTCCCCCCCTGGATGGGATGCTAGTCCATCGCAGGGTTACCCCAAGCATTAAGTTCACCAGTACCCATTTACACACCTTGATGGAGAGAGGCAATGTGAGAGTAAAGTGTCTTGCCCAAGAACACAACACAATGTCCCCGGCCAGGGCTTGAACCTGGACTGCTCGATCCGGAGACGAGCGCACTAACCATGAGGCCACTGTGCCTCCCACACCCCTAGACTTTATACCTACTTATAATTATCATAAATAAATAGGAATTGCAGTGTTATTTACAGAGCATAAACATGTTCCTGGAGGTGTCTGTTAAGAGAGCGTTGACTTTATAATGTATGTGTTGACTTATCCATTTACATGTGTATTCTCTTCTAATCAGTTGAAACCAGTTTAACCAATTACAGTGGTGACCAGACTGTCAATGAAGGTTCAAGTCCAACTTTGTTTTGTGATGCAACTGGTAAACCAACTCCAAACGTTACTTGGACCAGAGTATTAAAGAATGGTACAGATGGTGATGTAGTGTTCTTTGGAAACCCTTGGGTTATTGTAAACATCAGCAGAACTGCTACTGGAACACACCGCTGTACAGCTTACAATGGAATTGGAAATCCAGTCAGCCATTCACTTTATATCAACGTTACTTGTAAGTACAGAAATGCACTTTTTAGGTAATGTAATACACAGTGAAGTTGATTCATTAAATGGGACAATCTAGCTTGTATCATTATGCATGACAGGGTTCTCATTAATTTAGGGAGTAGAGGGCTTGTTTCATGAAGTAGACGGCTGACACCGATTCAAATGCCAAGGACACAAGTCTCT